GTAATGGAGGTCCTTACCTTGGGTACTCAAAGAATCCCTCACCTAAGAAGGTATGAAGTGGTTTTCATGTATCGTGCAGTGATTGTTAGAAGAGTCATGGACAGTTTATGGACAGATATTTTAAATTAAGGAAACTTTTTTGGCAGAATAAGAGTTACTAATATATGCCCTACATTAAATAAAATGAGAGCTGTTAGGATGTACTTATGTATTTTGGGGAGAAATCAGGCGTGACAGGAGAAATTGATGATGCTAGGCAAAAAGAGCTAGTTGCCAAAGTGGGATACTGAGTGGCGAAATGGGATGGGATCTCGAGCAGGAAGAGCCACAGTCTTTGGTAGGAAGTGGACATTTCTTCCGTTTCAGGGTAGGGAAGCTGAGTGCCTGGGGTCAGGTGCAGTTAAATTAATAGTTTTGTTGAAAGGCAGAAAAAGGACCTCCCTCCTGGGTTGTTTTCTTTTTTCCTGTTTCCTGTTTTATTTCAAACCAAGTAGGGAGAGAAACATTTAAATTGTTCACAAAGATGTCCTGCTGATTTCCAAACTTTTAAATACACTCTCTTAAAGCTTTTCCCTCGAGTAAGAAATTCATTTTTAATGTAAACACGGACATACTGAGTAGAGTTTATATTCTGACTTCAAAGTTTGAAGAAAAATGTCTCATATAAACTATTAGTTCTATAAGCAGATCTATGCCCAATGCTGAGCAATTTCATGAATCATTGGTCCCTGCTGTTGCACATAAGGACAATTTTTAGATTATATCTAAAGTACTGTCATGTAGCACTCTAGTCATGTTTGTCATGCCTGCAGGGAAACATTAAATATTTTTTATAAATGAAATATCTTAGTATATAAAAATAAAACATTAGAAAATTACTTTAAGAAGAACACAAAACACAAAATTAGCAAAAATTTTCTATACTGAGAAAACATTTCTCCAAAATGTCAATCTTATTTTTACCTAACTACAAAATTTTGATATACTGGAAAAATAAACTCAAATTTCAGTGTAGTTCTTCATTTGATTAACATGGTAAATATTCTGAGAGGTCTGCATCCCAAATGTCATTTGAATGAATTATGATTAGCCTTGAAATCGTAATCATTCAATATACTGATGAATCCTTAAATTCTCTTACTTAAATACTTAAGTAGAAATATAAATTTTTTTTAGTTCTCACTTTCTCTAGGACTCAAGTAACTTGAAATCTACATCTTCAGCTCCCTCTGCCATCATTCTTCTTTGTTCGTTAACTCTATGAATATAACATTTTGCATACCAAATTTTAAACAAACTATCACTGTATACAAATTGTGGAAAACACTGGGTCAATTCAAACTTTTCAACTTCCTTTCTCTAATTCAGTCATTGGACTGATAAGTTAGGTTTCCTTTCCTTCATCCATTTATGATTAATTAATTAATTCATTCAATAAATATGCATTGGTACCTAATATGGTAGTGTTAGATATATAGAAGAAAATAAGCCAGCAGAGGTCCCTGGCTTAGTGGGCCTGTTGTTTATTGGAGAAAATAGATACAATATAACTATATAATATATATAACTAATAATCTCAAGTGTGATGAGTACTAATAAATGGGGAAACGTAGGCTTTGTCGAAGTATAAGCCTTGTCTGGGTTTCAGGGAACAGAAAAAAGATGGAAACAATCAGGCGATACAAACATAACCATTGTCCAACAGTCCTTGACCTTGATTTTCAAACAGTGCTTTTTACATTTTTGGCTGGGAAATACACTTGTATAATTTTGAAGAATGATGGTACCCTGGATGGTTGGCCTGAGTACCTTAATAACTTAAGTTCATGGAGCAAAAGTAATCCTGATTTATACATAATTATAGCATATTTGGTTCAGTCTGATAATGAAACTTTATCTACAGTTGTCCAAACATCTTGCGTCTAGAAATAGCTGTCGGTCTCCAAACAAATCATTTCTAATTTTTGTGTAGTAAATGTAATGATAACTTGAGAACTAGCTTCTAAATGAATAATGTTGAAAGATGTATCAGTGTTTCTAATTTATATTCTTTTTCATTTGGCAGATAAACATTTTCAATGGTGATGATGAAATCAGTGCAGACAAGGCTGCTTTTATTTAAAGAGGAATGAAACGCATGCTTAAAAAAAAATGAGTGGATTGGCAAGTGGAATCAGAAGTTTTAAAAGATCTGGCTGTTGCTTGACTGATTTAAAGGTATAGATGTCTCGAATTACTTCTAACCTTCTCAAAAAAAATATGAAATTACTGTAAGACTAAGCTTGATAGCTTTCCTTAATCAGGATCAAGATACATAAACCTTTTGCACTGTTCCGTGTCACAAGAAAATTCTTTGTGTGACCCCTGCTTAATGAGTAGCATTGTACGAAACTGTTTTACATTTTAATGAACCAATGTGGATGGCTGGATCTCTGTATAATACATGATATATGAAATCATTTTGAAGTGTATTCAAAGGATTTAGTTTACCAATGACAATACTGCTCCTTTTCCTGGTTTACCTGCTAAAGGTAAATAGGTAGGTCTAGCAAAAATATAATAAACTGAGATAAATTTTTAGTGGATTTCACGTACTAAAGAGATAAATTTTTCCCATATCCTAAATCATTTTTTAATGTATTATAAATTCTAAATCATGTATAGTAAATTCTACATATGAGCTAATTTAAAATTTTCAGTTAAAATATGTATATATGTGTACATATATATTTCTATGCATACATATATGTGAATTACATTGCTAGAATCAAATAATGTTAGTACTATCAGTCGCAAAGAGAATATATAGTCTGAAATTGCTAGTTAGAAACTGAGATCTAGAGGGTACTCCCATTCCAATGTGAAGAGAGGAAACAAATTTGAGACTAGAATCTAGGCTTTATTATTTATTTATCTACTTATTTATTCCACAACCATTTATTTATTCAGAGGCTGTTATGTGCTAAGTACTTTTCATAGAATCTAAACAAATGAAGACAAATGTGCATTTCAGGTCCCAGCCATTTGCCCTATGTGCTATGCTTCTAGGCGTCCCTATTTCAACCCTTAAGCTTCTTCCTAAAAGCATTACAAATACACTAGAGAAGAAACAGAAAAAAAAAAAATAGAAAGTCTGGAGGATAAATTTGGAAAATCTATAAGAAATTGAACAAAATGACAGATGGAAAAGAGGAGAGAAAATCAGAAAGCCCCTTCAAGAGATGTGAGGAAGAGGAGTTCTAAAAGGACCAGACCAGAGAAAAAGTAGAAGGAAGAATCATGGAGGTGGATTTCCCAAGACAAAAGACATATTTCTTAATGGAAAGGACTCACTAAGCACCCAAGATAATGGATTAATTTAAGCATATCATGGTGAAGTTAGGAACAATCCTTAGGAACAAATATATTATTCTAATTGCTTGCAAAAAGAGATTTTTTTTTAAAAAGACAAGTATGTATATTTTTGAGTCAGAATTGCTTCAGAATACTCAACAGCAGTGCTGAAAAGTAGACTGATGCATTCATATGTTCAGTATCCTGATGAAAAATGAGATTAACAGAATTCTATATTTGCTCAAACTATTAAGTAAAGGATAGACTAGAGACTTGGAGAGGTGCACAATCTCAAAAAATATGTTTCCCACACACTTTTCCACAAAGCAACTGTACTACATATTCTACAAATATGAGAGAGCAAACCAAAACCAAGAAAAATATGGGACACAGAAAATAAGAAATTCAATTAAGGAGAGAGGTGAAGGGAATCCCCAAAATGATTTTAAAAGGCCATTAGCAGCATGACTGCTGTACCCAAAGCATAGAGAGAGCCAGTCACGATTTCACTATGAATGTGTAGATCTGTGTAGGTTAGAACCCACAGGCACACCATACTTTTCTCTAAATGAGCAGATCAGCACAGTCAAAACCAGTGAATCTCACTTTTAGATGAGATGCAAAGATGATATCTGGATAAGACAGAATAAAGAGACCATAAAGGTCACACTGAACAAGGCTTCTCTTTTTTTAACTCTCTAAATAGCAAGAGACTTCAGTTTACTGCACACTACAATTCAGAGAAAAAAACTACACATAATTTTACCCTAATAAGAGGAATTATCCTCTATATGGCGCATGTTCATATATGCCTAAACTGCCCCTGAAAAATGTCTAAGAGCCTGGTGACAATGATTGTCCCTAGCAGGGTGAAATGGGTGGCTGCAGGAAAAGTGTGTAAGAGAATTACTTTTCATTCATCACTGTTACTTTTGAATTTTGCACCAAGAGCATGAATTATCTAGACATACGGCAAAATTAAAATGATGCCAATAAAATGCATCCTTTCACCAGAGCCTTCAGGCTTATTAAATGTCTCTTTGAGATGTTAAGAAGCTCACCAGTTCCACATAAGATTCCACATGAAAGCTCTCTGTTCCAGCATGCCGGAGCCTAAACTTCCCCAGGAGTCAGAATCAGCATATGTGTCTTACTTGTTTGTTACTAGGAAATGAGTTCAGGAGAGGAGGCCAGAATATACCTAAATATAATAAGGGACACCCCCCCAAATCACCTAACCAATTTAATTGGGAAGAATAGGGGTGACTATATGCACTGAAACCATTTAAAATGCTAGAATAATTTCATGAACATATAATTTGTAAAGTATTTATGAATTTTTCAGGGGATGGGACAGACTTACTTTTCACAGGAAACACAAAATTCTGCTAATGAGTTTTAATCGTCTAAAGTTGTGTTTTGGGTCAGAAATTAATGTAAAGCTTACCATTGTTTTATTTCACTTATGCTAAGTTAAAAGTGAACTAAAAAAAGCTGGAATAAATGTGACAATTGATAATTAACCTTAACCTTATTTATTAGGAAAAAAATGTTATGTTTTGAGGTTCATCTATGTTATCTTGCTACAACGTTGTAACACTGAATTTGCGACATCAATATTAGCATGGCCCAAATATGCTCTTGAAACAGTCCCTAAACAAATAAGCATATGTCTATAATTTCATAATCTGTTATGTTAAATTTTGTACCATATGAGAGTACTCACTTGGCAGCACATCTACTAAAATTGGAATGATGCAGAGATTACATTGGCCATGGCAGAAGAGTGACATGCAAATTTGTAAAACTTTCAATTTATAAAGATTTAAAATTGAGATTTTTTTTCCTAACAGATTTGTGCTACAAGAACTACTAAAGAGAGTTCTTCAGATGATAAGAAAAGGACACTAGAAAGTAACTTGAATCCATATGAAGAAATAAAGAACCCAATAAAGGGAACTACAGAGGTAAATATAAAAAAAGTATAAATTTAATTTTATAACACTTTTTTTCCAGTCTGATTTAAAAGACAACTATATAAAGTAATAATTATAAATCTATGTTTATGGGCATATAATATATAAAGATGTAATCTTTATATCAATAACAGCATAAAGGAGCACAATGTAATGGAGCTACATATAAGCAAAGTTTTTTATATTATTTAAATTAAGTTAATATTAATCAAAACTAGATAATTTTAAGTTAAGATATTATTTGTAATCCTTAGAGCAAGGATTAAAAATATAACTCAAAAATATAGTAAAAGATGAGGAGATTGAAATTGTACACTAGAAAATATCTATTTAACAGCAACAATAAAAAACCCCACACGAATCAGTAATAGACGAAGAGGAATTAGAAAAAAATATGACACACAGAAAACAAATAATAAATGTTGGACATAAATTCTACATGAATTACATTTAATATAAAATTTACAATTAAATATTAATTATATTTGATATAAAAAGAGTAAACATTCCAACTAAAGGCAAAAATCTACAGAATGTATAAGAAATAAGAAACATGTTCCAAACATTACTTTCTACAAGTGACACACTTTATAGTCAAAAACATGTATAGGTGGAATGTAAAAGAATTGAAATATATGTGCTGTAACAGTAACAACAAAACAAAATGACAACAAAACTGTAGTGGCTAAGCAAGTGTTAGAAAAAATGTATTTTAAAACCAAAATTTTTTACTGGAGACAAATAAAGATATTTTATAATGATAAAATGGTTATTTCATCATGAATGTATAATAACTATAAATGTATATGTACCTAATGACAGAACATCAAAATACAATGAAGCAAAGTTGGACACAATGGAAAGGAGAAATAGACAGTTCTACAATAATAATTGGATACTTTAATACCCTTCTTTCAATGCCAGATCAGGCAGAAAATCAGCAAGAAGGTACAAAACTTGAACAACATAATCAACAAACTAGACCTAACAGATAACTATAGAACATTCCACACAAGAGCATCAGAATATGCATTCTTTTCAAGTGCACAAGCATAGACTGTATGTTAGGCCATAAAATAGACTTCAATAGATTTAAAAAGATATAAACAATATGAAGTATGCTCTCAGATGACAACAGAATGAACTAAGAAATCATTAACAGAAAGACATTTGTGAAACTCACAAATATGTGGAAATTAAATAATATATTCCTAAATAATTCTTAAGTCAAGTAAAACCTCATAAAAGGTATTTGAAACACTTTGAGATGAATTAAAATGAAAGGACAACAGATTAATTCTTGATTGGTCCCACACACTCTTTTTAAAAGCAGGGGAATTAGACAAAGATCTAAATAACTATGTGCAATAAGTCGAGGGAAGTTTGAAGTCTGGGAACAGCTCAGGAAGAGCAATAGCTCACTGAAATGCTGTGTGAACCTGTGCCACTCTCCTGAGAGCTTTACCTGTTTTAACTCCTTTAGTTCTCACTGTAACCACGTTAATTAAATACCATTATTAATCCCAATTTGAAAAGGAAACTAGGGCGATGAGTGATTAAATAATATTTTGAATATACTTGGAGCCATAATCAGAATCCATTATCTTAATTTTTAAGTGTATCTTGAAAATACTTTGTTAAAACGTATTTTCAAACCCCACATAGATAGTGATGCCTTTCAGGATTCTTGGAACAGACTCATGGTAAAGGAACAAAATACTGATGGAAAGCAATCTCCACTTTTGTTAGGTATATATGTCCTGGAACTCAGTGGGTGGGTAATTCCTCAGGTTAATAACTATGGCGAAATAACATTAAGTATTATGAATGGCAGAAACTCAGAAGGACAAAGTTTACTGGAGAGGAGATTATAATAGATGATAAATGTCAACAACATTTTAGAAGACGAACAGTGGATGGATTGATGTGATTTAAATGTAAATTTTCCTCCACCTTGCAAAGGTCCTTCAAGGGAGATGTGAACAAGGATTTAGCTGATTTGTCCCTAAAACTTTGGTAAAGCTCAGGAATTGGAAATACTTTAAAACAGACATGCACAGTGGACCTGAAGACTGAGACGATTACTTAAAACTCTGTTTAAGGTGTAGATAAACCCACTCCCAAATTTCCCAACCCCAAGCAAACGAGTGACTCGCCTTCTATTGTAGCAGAGGCATGG